TGTCGGTGTGGGTGTGGGTGTCGGTGTCGGTGTGGATGTCGGTGTCGGTGTGGGTGTCGGTGTGGGTGTGGAGTGTGAGTGTGAATATGGGTGGGGATACAGAATGAACACCCACACCCACACCCACACCCACACCCACACCCACACCTGGTTCCAACAGACACTGGTCGAAAATTCTACTTGTCATATAATTGAATAGAATAGATAAATAAAAAATATATTAATTATTACTGCATTTTCTTCTGATTTATTATGATTTTCGTTTATTATTCAAGTTTATTTATACGTTTTCACAACTCAAAAGAAAAACCAACAAGAAAATATTCATATCGTATATATTCAATTCTTTTATCTAGTGATTATTTGTGAGTTATACAAAAAAAAACAAAACAACTAATTGAAATTTTTATTTGATTGTAAAAGAATTATATAGTTATACTTTGTGTGCATTCGAATAGTATTAGATTTTGCCTCGTTTTTGTTTCTAGTGTTAAAATCGATATTCTGTTTTTTTCTTTTTGCATTGTTAAAACTCTATTTTTCTATTTTAACATGCTATTTTGGTTTAATGTATTAAAGTGTTTTTAAAACATGACTTTTAATTTAATTGTACTTTATTAAATTCTTGAATTTGCTTCTTTTCTTTTCAAATATTATCATTATAATTTTTTTTTACTCAAGAAATATATTGAGTATATGAAACATGTCTTTGAAATTTCTTTGTTCTCTTGTATAACCAAGTCATTAATGTATTTTCTTTGTAACTTTTGGAAATCATTATGACATTATAATGTACTTGGACTAATGAAAATTGACCATTATAGGTTTTAGAAACTATGTTATAAATCACCTGAATTAAAGACAAATTCAGGAGACATCACCAAAAACAAAATGTGATATTCTTTGGATGAATTAATCAAAACTAAAATATTATATTTTGACTTGAAATTTTACATAGGGACAAGTCTTAACTGGAATAGTTTATTGTGAAAATTTTACTACAAAATAACGCATAGACTTAGGACATTTTTTTTATAT